TATGGAGATGACACTGCCAGAACACGCTCAGAAAATAGACACCTCTGTCCCCATGCCCTTTATTTAGAGACTCTCGGATTCCACAGATGGGACACACAAGCTGCCATGTTTTCAGAGCTGCTGGTCCCAGACTAGGCTGGGTATTTTTCAGTCATCTATCCCAGTGGGATAGTCACAAACCTTGTTAGAGGGGAACAAATGGAACAGGGGGTGTGTCTTGCCTCTGTGACTAGTTAGAGAAGTGACAAGGGACAAAGCTGGGGCTCTAAGCACAGGTGAGGGTTCAGGGGCATCTATACACTGGATGCCACCAAACAATTTTAATCAAGAAACGCATGTTGTAGCTGGGCAGTGGTGGCATACACCTTTAATACCAGCACTCGGGAGGCAGAGGCAGGAGGATCTCTGTGAGTTCCAGGCCAGCCTGGTTTACAGAGCTAGTTCCAGGACAGGCTCCAAAGCCACAGGGAAACCCTGTCTCGAAAAACAAAAATAAGAAAAAAAAAAAGAAGAAAAAAAAAAAAAAAGGAAGGAAAGAAGGGAGGGAGGGAGGGAGGGAGGGAAAGAAAGAAAGGAACGGAAGGATGGAAGGAAGGAAAGAAGGAAGGAAGGAAGGAAGGAAGGAAGGAAGGAAGGAAGGAAGGGAAAGACAGGAAGGAAAAGAAAGGAAGGAAGGAAGGAAGGAAGGAAGGAAGGAAGGAAAAGAAAAGAAAGGGAGAAACGGATGTTATGAAAAGATGACTTGGGAATCTGGTAGAAGCCGGTCAGGCAAAGGGGGTGTTACTGAGAATGGAATTGGGATGGTTACAGGTTCAACAATGCTGATGGGAGATACCCAGGCTTGTTCCAGGATATCTATAGTGAGGAAAGAGAAGGTATGTGGCTCAGTGGTTGCATATTCATCTACCAGGCACTCATCAAGGTGATGAGTTCAATCCTCAGCAGGGTGGGGAGAGGAAAAACGGAAGGAGAGGGAGAAATGGCATGCAGAGGGAGCACAGTCAAGAAGACTAACACACTGTAGACTATGCAGGACAGTAACTACCCAGCCTTGGGGACTCACTAACAGAGTCCTCCCAGGAACCAACAAAGTCAAATGGTTGAGCCCCACAGCCAAAGATGAGGATTCAGTAGCCTGGGACAGAGATGAAGAGTTGAGGATTCGGTAGCCTGCAACAGAGATGAAGGTACACAGCCAGGCTTGGGAAGTTATAGGGCTTTGCTCTTACCACAGGTCAGTTTTACTTCACACTCCAGCTGACCCAGGCTATCTCCTCACACGACCTAGCCAAGCACGCACTAGGCAAGCAGCAATCCCACCTTGGGAAGTTATGTGAATGTCCCAGACTATGACTTACTAATGAACAAATTTAAGTCCCTGTAACCAACTCAACCTCAGCAGCAGCGCTCAACAGGAGTGCCTGGGGGAAACCAGCTCTTCGAGTGGGCTGACAAGCCTTGCTCTGGATGCTTGGCACCGTTGTCAGGATAATGTATGCCCTGCGGCTTTTATGTAATGGACAAAATAGCATTGGTGACTAGAGTCCTTCTGTACTTCAGGGTGGTCCTCATTAACATCAAACTGGAGCCCTGACTCAACCTGGACAGGCAGCGCTCCAAAGCTGATGCCAAGGGGGCAGGTATCAAGGTACCTAGGATCTCCAGTGGTCCTCCCTTGCTGAGCCATGACAAATAAGCATACAGCCTAAGTAAACAAGTTCCCTCTTCTTATTGTTGCCCCAAAGATCCACTAAGTTCCTCTTGCTCCCCGGAAGTCCCGCCTACTCTCTCCTGCCTCTCTACTGGCCGTTCAGCTTTTTATTAAACCAATCAAAACAACACATCTTCACACAATGTAAACAAATATCCTGCAACACAGTGCAGTGTGGGGAAACAGAAACAACCCCTTGATGAGTGTGTTCCACACCTGGGAGTAGTTCACAGAAAATACCTGGTGGCAATTTTAGTTCTTGCCATGACCAGGGAGAACTGCTGGCACTGAGTGGACAAAGTCAGAGAAATTGGCCATGCACAATGGGTGGGCCATCCTATATGACCTTGAATGGTACACCACAAGCTGCCACTAGCACCCCATGGGGAATCTGGAGAATGGCATTCAGTTGCACAACACCTGCCCCAACACCATCATTCTAAAGAGGCCTTGATGACAGTTGTGAGCTGGGCGTGCAGCACTAAATAGAACACCCATTCTGCCTTAGCCATTTGATCTTCCTGACGTTTTAGCTTCAAATAGAATTGGAACTTGGAACCTCAGAAGTCTGGAGCATACTGACAGGAACACGAAGATTCTTTGTGTCTTACACTGCAATACAAACACCTTTATGAAGATTACAGTTACTGTAGACAACATTTTGTTCAAAATGGATGGTTGGAAGGTTTGGTTTTTTGACTGTTTGGGGTTTTTTTTTTTTGGTTTTTTGATTTTTTTTTTCCAGTTCTGGGTATTAAACTCACGGCTAGACAAGTGCTTTACCACTGTCCTATACCCTATCCCCAAAGTACCTCTTTTTTTTTTAATTTAGTTTTATTTCATGCACATTGTTGTTTTTGTCTGTGTGAGGGTGTTGGATCCCCTAGAGCTGGAGTTAGAGAAAGTTGTAAGCTATCATGTGGGTGCTGGGAATTTAACATCGGTCCTCTGGAAGAACAGTCAGTGCTCTTATCCACTGAGCCATCTCCCCGGCCACCTCTTTTTTTGTTTGTATGTTTTGAGACAGGGTCTCACCTTGTAGTCCTGACTGATCCGAAGCTCACTTTGTAGACCATGCTATCCTGGAACTCACTCTGTATAGACCAGAGTGTTCTGGAACTCATAGAGATCCACCTGCCTCTGCCTCCAAAGTGCTGAGATTAAAGGTGTGCACCACTACCACCTAGCTGGACTAAACCTCTTAAACTGTAAGCCAGCCCCGGGTAAATGCTTCCCTTGTTAAGAGTTGTGGTCATGATGTCTCTTCACAGCAATAGAACAATGACTAAGGCACTAAGTTGCCTTTTTGGTCATGGTGTTTCATTACTGCAAAAGTAACCCCACCTGAAACAGAAGAACACTAGGAGATCCTGTGGTTCAACCCAAGACAGAAAATGAAATGAGAAAGAGCATGGAGGACCCACCCCGTGCTGCATCCAGCACCTGTCCTGCAGACCATGGGCTTCCAACAGTCCCCAGGCAGGAGGTCACTTTGTCCGGTATTTTGTGGTAATGTGCCAATGTAAACTTCTCCTCCCACCACAGGAATTCTCCTCATGCCCATCTATCTCTGCCCATCTCATGCCCATCTATTCTAAGGGGAAGCTCTTAGAATCCAGCAATCCCCTTTCCTTCTGGTCCAGACACTCCATTGTATGATAGTATTTCACTTGAAGTTATGAAAACAGAGTATCTTTTTAAATTTTATATTGACGTTTCCTTCACTTTCAGGGAAGTCAATATCTGATGTCCTCTTCCAGCCTCCTTGAAAACACACACACACACACACACACAAATAATTAATTAATGAAACAAAAAAATTTTAAAGGCCTTTTAAAAGTATGAGCCCAATTTTACCTTTGTGTTCTATTTTGAATCCACACAGCACTGCTTATTCCCGTATTAGTTTTCTTTTCTATTGCTGTGATAAATACTATGTCTAAAAGTGACTAAGGGGAGGAAAGGACTTATTTGGTTTATCACTGGGAAGTGTGGGCAGGAACCTGAAACAGAAACCATGGAGGAATGTTGCTTACTGAATAATTTCATCTGGCTTCTTCAGCTAGCTTTCCTACACAGCCCAGGCTTGCCACCCTCAGTGGAATGTGCCCTCCTACGTCAACTACCAACAAAGAAATTGCCCCTACAGACATGCTCACAGGCCCATCTGATGGAGGAAGTTCTTGAGTTGAGGTCTCTTCCCTGATATGTGTCAAGTTGAAAATCAAGATGAGTCACCATAGCATAATTCATGTTCCATCTATTATCTGCCCGAGTCTTCACAGCCACTCTCCTGGATAGCCCATCTCTCTGTGAACTATCCCATTACCAACTGTCACCTGGAAACCTGACCTATCCCCACAATTGAATTTAATTTTCCCCTCTTTAAATCTCTTAGACAAATGCTTCAATTCACCTAGAGTACCTAGCATATTTACCATTTCGTAACTTCCAGACAGACGCTATAAAACCTGGCTAGACTTCTCAAGGACAAGAACTATGCCTCACTCACCTTTGTGTACATTACAGGGCTCAGAGCTAGGGATTTAGCCCACTTGGAAGAGTGCTTGCTTCAAATGCACAATGTCCAGGGTTTGGTCCCCAGCACCATGGCATTTTTTAAAAAGCTGTTATAGCCTGTAATCGACACACTACTGAGGTGAAGACAGGGAATCAGGAGCTCAAGGTCCCTAGTTCCATAATGAGTTAGAGGCCAGCACTGGCTGTATGAGATCCTGTCTCAAAAAGAAAAAGCAAAACCAAGAGAAATGTTGCTCTACACAGAGTTCAAGGTCAGTAGTTATTTTTAATTCAACTTTAATCTACTAAAGTAACATTGTAGCATCTATATATTCTGTGAAAATGAAAAAAATATATTGTGTTATTTTTAACTAACTGGATTTTAATTTGGGAAAGTTTTTTCAAAATACTTCTTTTCATTGCTGCATACACGAGATACACAGAACAAATCTAAAGCAAGCAATAGAAAAATATATAAAATAAAAAAATATAAAAAATATATAAAAATATACAAAATTGAGGGCCAGTGAGATGGTTCAGCAGGTGAAGGTACCAACCACCAAGGCAGGCAGATGACCTAAATTTAATTCCCAGGACCCACAATGTAAGAGGGAACCTACTCTCACAAAGTACCCTCCGGCCTCCATGTGCACACTGTGGTGCACACACTTATGTGGACACACTCCACATATACAATATAAATAAATGTATCTTTAAAGCAATTCAAACTGCAATCTAAGTTTTGATCAGCAAGTCAAAATAATCTTACCTGAGAGAGGATTTGTCTGGGCTCCTAGAATCTTTTCTTCTCCAAAAGCTAGGTCCATTACTATCTTGCTTGACTAAAAAACAAAATGTAATGTGGTCATTAATTAAATAATTTGAGTTCATGAGGACCTAATGTCATTAAAGGGTAGTGACACAACTCTAGTGCCAATGTCACTGCCTCTTTCTGTTGACTTTAGGTCTTCATTTGTAATGGGGACAAGGAGACTGCACTCTGGGCCCAGAAGTGAAGTAGAAAGAACTTGGTCGGCTTTGTGGTTGATGGAATGTCTGATCCTCTAGACACCTGAGTGTCTAGTACCTGAGTCTGTGGGTAAAGGCAAGAGTGACAAAATCCTAACGATTCCATTCTTCAGAGGGCAAATGGCTTGACACTAAGTCTTCAATCAGCTAGCCCCATGGATTTTGGGTGGAATGTTCATGGTACTACCCAGGTGAAAACATTTTTCAGGGGGCTGGGAGATGGTTCAGTCAGAAAAGTGCCTGCCACACAAAAACCTGAGATGGGAGCCCCAGCACCACGTAAAAGCTAGGGGTAGTGGCATGTGTTCGTGACCCGAGGTCTGGGATGGGGATTATGGGCAGGATCCCTGGAACTAGCTGCATTGGTAAACTCCGGGTTCAGTGAGAGGTCTCATCTCAAAAAATAAGTTGCAGCCAGGCGTTGGTAGCGCACGCCTTTAATCCCAGCACTCAGGAGGTAGAGGCAGGCAGATTTCTGTGAGTTCAAGACCAGCCTGGTCTACAAGGGCTAGTTCCAGTCCAGCCTCCAAAGCCACAGAGAAAACCTGTCTCGAAAAACCAAAAAAAAAAAAAAGTTGCTTTTGTTTTGTTTTTGTTGTTGGCTTTTGGGGTTGTTTAAAATAATTTATTTAGCTTTTATTTTATGTGCATTGGGATTAAGCTGTCAGATCCCTTGGAACTGGAGTTACGGACAGTTGTAAACTGCCATGTAAATTCTGGGGATTAAAACTTGGATCCTCTGGGGAAACAGTCAGTGCTCTTAACTGCTGAGCCACCTCTCCAGCCCAAGCTTTTGTTTTTTGAGACAGAGTTTCCTGTAGCTGAGGCCTGCCTTAAACTCACTATGCAGATAAGGGTGACCTTTAATTCCCTGATCCTCCTGCTTTCACCTCCCGGGTACCTGCTGGGATCGTAAGCAAGTACCACCACACCTTGTTCAGTTCGATTTTCTTAAATCATATTTCTGTCTACTATGGGGTTTACTCTGGTTTTCTTCAAGTTCTAAGATGTCCTCTGTGGTTCTAGAGCTATGACAATGACCACTAGTCACATGGAGCTGTTTAAACCCAAATCGAAATTCAGTTACTCAACAGCATTCATGTTTGATGGCCAAATGTGGCATTGTTAGACATACTTCAACTCGATGTAAAGTATGTCCATGATGGCGGAGAGTTTTGCAGCTGATGGCTGTTCTAGAATGTACCTGAAACTAAGTGATTCTTGATCCAATCTATTCCAGAATTTCAGAAGAGTTTACCATGGTCACTCAGTTGCCAGAGGTTTTGTTCCTGTAGAGTTTGCTATAGTTTGGGATGCATTGTTTACCAAGGGTTTACTCCCAAGCCATCATCACTACTGGAAGGTGGTAGAACCCCCAAACCTGAATCACTCCTGGAAGGTAGTAAAACTCCCAAGCCTGAATCACTCCTGGAAGGTAGTAAAACTCCCAAGCCTGAATCACTCCTGGAAGGTAGTAAAACTCCCAAGCCTGAATCACTCCTGGAAGGTAGTAAAACTCCCAAGCCTGAATCACTCCTGGAAAGTGGCAGAATTTTCACAAGGTGGATATCGGGAAGAAATAAATGAAAGCATGCCAATGAAGGGGATACTGGGACCTGAACCCCTTCCTGCCTTGTTCTATCCTTCTGGACTGGCCTGAGGTGAACATCTTGCTCTGTCATGCTTCCTTCCACCCCATGCTGTCATGCCAAGTCCCAAGACACCAGGATCAACTGGCGGTGGACCCTAAGTGTGCACCAAACTAAGCCTTTCCTTTGGTGCCTTTATCTCAGATGCTGGTTCAGTAAAGGAAACCTGACAAGTCACCCTGAATAACCACTCTGCATCTAAACACAGAAAATCTAAAATTCTGACAGAGGCCCACACAAGGACACACATATGCTCATCAGGAAAAACTGCTTTTTCTCTGTACCTCCAGAAAAAGCTTGGCCTAATAACTGGTGATATAAACCAGGTATTTTTTTTACTATGGATGATCTGTGCTTTGAGTTTAATTTGTTCAGATAATGAAGGTGACTGGAGAGTGGACAACTTTGCTACATGATAAAAATATTCCCTGGGCTTTCACCCAAGAGGTTACAAGTCAGTCCTAATAATTATCTTTTACTTAACTCCTTAGCAGTTAATGCTTGCTGGCTTCTCTTGGTCATGACATCAGCCTTAATATTAAAGACTTTTGTGATGGCTATTTTCACACAGCTGGTCAGACAGGCATGAGCCTATTGGTCCTTCCTGTAGGACCACATAACAGATCATCGAAGAGATGAACCAGGGGGTCCTACAGGAGGTGAGCCACAGGATCCTACAGAAGGTGAACCACAGGATCATATAGGAGGTGAACCATGGGGTCCTACAGAAGGTAAATGATGGGGTCCTACAGAAGGTGAACAACAGAGTCTTACAGGAGGTGAACCACAGGGTCCCTACACATATAGGAATACCCTAACCAAACAGCATACAGGACAACAGAAAATACAGAGCACATCAATATTATGAGATGGAAAGGATGAGGGATTTTTATCTTACAATATGTATCATTTCTTCTTGTGGTGGTGGTAGCATTGTGTTTCAAAGAACATCTGCACAAAAATGTCAGATGGGGCCAGGAATGGTAGTGCACACCTTTAATCCCAGCACTCATGAGGCAGAAGCAGGAAGATTTCTGTGATCTCAAGGCCAGTTTGCTGAAAAAGGTATCAGATAATATCTTTGGGGGTGAAACTAAAGAACAAGTGACAGAAGAACAAGTGAAACTAAAGAACTCTGACTAGCCATGCACATGGACACAACATAACGTCTTCACTGCTTAATAATCATTTGCAAAGTTTCTAGGCATTGCAATTTCATTAAACTTCAGCCCACTTCATTACGTTCTTTTAATATGTTTTCACGCTCCTATCCATGTTGAAAAAGAGCCAAGAAAACTGTGCTTGTGTGCAGGTTGAATATGCATTTAAGGCAAGCAACACCAGTTCGATACCCTAATTAGTGTGACAAGAGACCTGGTGAGCAACCAGGGATTTCATAACCCTGTTAATTATGCCTAGGACAAATAGTTTCCATGCTGTAGCTACCTGTGTGCAGAAGCGCTTGTCCATGAAGGGGGAAAAACATCATACGACTTCCTTCCACTGGGTAGCTGTCTGATACTCTGGAAGGCCCTCATTCGGACTTGGAGGGGAGTCTGGTAGACAGTGAACAGGTTGCTCTACTTTGATACCCAAAGAAGGGCTTGTCCACAGGCTACCTCAAGCCCTTCATTCCTCACTTCTTCTACACTAAGAATGTAATCATTTATTTATTTATTTATTTATTTAATGTATGTAAGTGTTTTGCCTGCATGGATGTATGCCCACCATACCTCTGTGTCTGGTGCCCAAGGAACCAGAGTTATAGATGGCTGTGAGCCAACTATGGGTGCTGGGAACTGAACCCAGGTCTTCAGTAAGAACAGCAAGTCTTCTCTACCACACACCTGAGCTCTACAGCAAACACTATCTCAAAACTAAGAATCCCAGAGCTCTCCATCATCTATATATGGTCACTCTATGTGTCTAATTTGGGTCTCCATCTTCCGTATTACCCACGTAATGTCTGACCACCCCAGCCTGCCTTCAGTAAGCATCCTGCTTGGTCAAATTAGTTGAATGCCCATGGCTTTGAGGCTACTCCTGCTAAGTTTTCTATCCAATGACCCCATCCTGCTTCTTGGTTATAAATCCCCATTGCCCATGCCACAGCCAGAGTTAATCCCTATCCTAGATACTAAGTCTCTAGGATACTAAGTTTCAAAGGATCTAATAGAACTTGTCTTACCTCTTTAACTACAGCCAGGGACGCATTAACAGCAATTTTTCTCTTGTTTTTCTACTACTTTTTTTAGATGGGAGCTTGTCTTGAGCTTGCAATTCTCCTGCCTCAGCCTTCCAAGTGCTGAGATTACAGTTGTGTGCCACCACACCCAGTTCTAAAAACTACTTTTGATGAACAAATGCTCTTTTTTTTAAGATTTATTTATTATGTATACAGTGTTTTGTCTGCATGTATGCTTGCAGACCAGAAGAGGGCACCAGATCTCATTATAGATGGTTGTGAGCCACCATGTGGTTGCTGGAATTGAACTCAGGACCTCTGGAAGAGCAATCAGTGCTCTTAACCTCTGAGCCATCCCTCCAGCCCAGAACAAATGCTTTTAAATGACCATCCCTTCCTGGTGGGAGGCCTAAGGCTCTAAGGATGGCCAATGGATACTCTTGACCCAGGTTCATAAGCCTTCTCTTTACCAGATATACTTCACCAGAAAAAAAAAAAATATTTTTAATCTATGGGTGTCAAATGACAGAGAAGCCTTGTCTTAAAAAAGAAAAAAAAAAAAGGACAGCTGATTTTTTTTTTCTTATGTCATGTACTACATACCTTTTTTGTTAGCATTGCTGTGGTGAAATGAAAATAGGAATTTTCCAACACCTTTGGATTTTTCACACTCTTTTTTCAAAACCGTTGAATAAACAATACGAATGTGCTGGTTGATTTCTCTATCTGGCAAATTCAAAAATTCTGGGTAATCGGCAATCTGGAAAAAAAAAATTGATCTCACTGAACACAAAGCTACTCACTTGAGGAAAATAAATCCCGCAAACTAAGGGCATGTTTAATGTGAGTTGTTTTCACAATTCTCCACTGGGACATGTCTTCTCTTCTTGATCTCAATTCTTCCTCCATTTGTTCTAGTTCCTACAAAAAAAAAAATGCAACAGGCAACAGAGGCCAAGAAACCATCTACACTATTGGATTATTCAATAAATAGCAATGGTGTTCTTGTTAAAACACATCCCCCTCTACTTCACCGTTTGAATATTTTAATGTGTGTGTGTGTGTGTGTGTGTGTGTGTGTGTGTGTGAGACAGAGAGAGAGAGAGAGAGAGAGACAGAGACAGAGACAGAGACAGAGACAGAGACAGAGAGAGAGTGCTCCCAGGTGGAGCTCCCAGGTGGAAGGAGAGAAATAAGTCCAGTAAGTTGTTCTCCATCCTGCAAACACACATCATCATGGCATGCTTACATCAATACACAGGCATGTGCATGAGAGCACACACAACACACACACACACACACACACACACACACACACACACACACACACGGGGTTGGGGAATTTAAAAGGAAAGCAAAAATATTTCTGAACAAGTGATGGAATTTTACAATTTGGAATTACTATTAGTTTGGGGGGATTTTTTGGTTGTTTTTTGTTTGTTTGTTTGTTTGTTTTTTTAATTTTAAGACAGTATCATTACGAAGGTCTGGTTGGTCCAGAACTCAATGCAGACCAGGCTGGTCTCAAACTCAGAGATCTGCTGCCTCTGGCTCCCAAATGCTGGATTTAAAGTGCACACAACCACATGTGCCTTGTACTGTTGTTTTGGGGTGCGATATTGGCACTATAGTTGCTTTAGAATTTTTTCCTTTTACTGTCCAACACTGAAGTATCTCAAGATGAAATATGAGTGCCCTCCTGGTGTTGGTGGCTCACGCCATTAATCCCAGCACTCAGGAGGCAGAGGCAGAGAGAGAGAGAGAGTTCGAGACCAACCTGGTCTACAAGAGTTAGTTCCAGGACAGCCTCCAAAGCCACAGAGAAACCCTGTCTCAAAAAAAAAAGAAAGAATGCAAGCAAGAACTAAAGAAAGAAAGAGAGAAAGAAAGAAAGAAAGAAAGAAAGAAAGAAAGAAAGAAAGAAAGATGAGGTCCCAGAGTTGTATTAAAATGACACTCTGATGAGAAATTTAGATGAAGGTCAGTAAAATGATCAGCTGTCTGTAATTACCAGAGTGATGATGGTACTTGGGAGATTCTTTATACTCTTGTTTTATTTGGTTTAGGGTTACATTTTCCGTGAGAAAGGGGTAGTCAAAGATAAGTGGGCTGGGAAGGTGGCTCACATGGTGCAGCACTTGCCACACAGGCTCGGGGGACCTGAATTCAGATCTCCAAAATCCATGTGAAGGCTGGGTCTGACAGGACATGTCTGCAAGCCCACTGCTGGGGAGGTAGAGGATTCCTGGAACTCAGTGGCCAATCAACTTAGCCAAATCTGTGAGCTTCAGGCTCAGTGCAGAGCATCCACTTCATTTGTTTGCTTGTTTGTTTTCGAAACAAGGTTTCTCTGTGCAGTACTGGCTGTACTGGAATTTGCTTTGAAGAGCAGGGTAGTCTCGAACTCATAGAGATCCTCCTGCTTCTGTCTCCCAAGCACTGGGGTTAAAGGCGTATGCCACTACTGCCTGGCAACATCAACTTCTTGCCTTCACACACATGGCACAAATTGTATGACCACAGACCTGTGCACATACCCACACAAACACATAGTGAGTTCGAGACCAGCCTGGTCTACAAGAGCTAGTTCCAGGACAGGCTCCAAAGCCACAGAGAAACTCTGTCTTGAAAAAAAACAACAAAACAAAACAAACAAAACATGCTGAAATAGAAAGGCCACAGGCCATCCCTGAAAGGGCCCTCTTTGGTTCTGCTGATTTGGGCTTACAGTGTAAAGTGCTGGCATGCAATTATCTTCTTCTGGAACACACATGCCCTCTTATTCTATTTAGAAAAGTCACTTTGTCCTTTAAGCTTTCACCTCCTCATGTAAGTAGCTATGGTGTTTTCTTGGCAGAATATCACTTCCTCTTCTGGGCTCTGCAATGTTGTATTTAGTATATGTTTTCACATTTTATTATAAATGCCTGGTTATAACTTTTTTCTTCTTAACTGCTTGTTTCTCCTTTAAAATTAATGAAAAAAGTTTTAAAAGTCTCATTTTTACTTCCTGGAAATTCAAAATATTAGTGGGATGGCCATACAAAATCTACCACCCAGTTAGTAGATATGTACAGGTAGACGACTGTACACAAGCTGGGCCCCACTTAGATCCATTTATCTAATGTGACATTAGGTAGTAGAACTAAGGCTAGAGAAGCTAAGGTGTTCAACATTTTCAACTTCCTTTCAGGATTTAACATCTTCTATGAACAGTAAACTTTAAGCCTCCTACCTGCAACGGGGAAAGACCATTATCATCATAGTGGGACATGGCAGCATGCCTGCAGATATGAGGCTGGAAATCCTCTATCTTGCACATAACAGGAAGCCTTCTATGATACTGGGAGTAGCTTGAAGCACAGGAGACCCCAAAGCCCACCCCCATGGTAGCACATTTCCTCCAACAAGACCATACTACTTCAACAAAGCCACACCTCCTTATAGTACTACTCCTATTGGGGGCCATTTTCTTTCAAACCACCAGACTGGGCCTCAATCCAGCATGGAACATTGATTTATGATCTGTCAAAGTGCATCACAACGAGTTCTGGAACCTTGAAGCAATGGCCAAGGCAACAGTTGAGTTGGTCACCAGTTCTGGAGCATGTCTCTCGCACGCTGGCTGCACAGCATACTGGTGTCTTAAGGCAACTAGCCAGTTGGTTCAGTGTGATTTCTGGATTGTGTTCCCAGAGGTCCTGCCCCAAGAGACAGGGCCTGAACTCCACCAAGCGTTTGACAGTGGGACTGGTGAACTGCCACCTTAAAGATACTACATTGATTCATTCACCAAGAGAAAGATATTCTTTGGTATGGTCACTTCCATCTGACTTTACATTCCAACTGACCGAAACAACAAAGGCAACCTCCTCTGATAAAGAGGAAATCTGATCTCTTCACCCTACAGTTTCTGACCTTGGATTAACATGTTCAGTGTGGATAAGACAGCTGGGAGTGATATAACTGATCCTTCAGCAAACAGAAGGACAACAACCCAAGAGCATCCACCGAGAGTCAGGCCGACATACTCTTTGACACAGAAATCAGAAAACTGTACCACATCAGCAGCAGACACTGGAGCAAAGGTGATCCAAGTAGTCCCTACATATGTCAACCTTGCCAGCAGTATGAAACCGTGAGCCCTGAGCATCCAGGGTAAGGTCAAAAGAGGAAATAGCAGGAGGAGGGAAGAACCGATGGGCAGATTCAAGAGCCAGCAGAGCCTCAGAAGAGGGTGAGACAGGTCCAGGGTGAAATTGAGCTTGGGTGTGAAGAATCTGGCAAGGGTCAGGTACAGAAACCCCAGGAAGAGGGTCCATTACAGCTAAAGTCCCATGAGTGTGCCAAAGGGTCCCAGAAAGAGGCTGTGACTGAGGTGAAGTCTGTGGATGGTGGCAAGGGTCACAAGCATCCCTATTGTAACATAAAGGAAGGTTCAGAAACACCACAATGAAAATACCGAAGGCTGTTGGAACACCTTCAACCCAGTGGTCATGTGAGTTCTGACCCTCACAGTGTTCACACAAGCCCTGTGGACACCAGGAAGAAGATCAAAGGCCGTGTAAAGGGCAGATTCACAACTCTGACCCAACTCATGCTGAGCCAGAATAATCTGCCTGTGCTGTCACGAGAGATAAGTCACCATTCAGAAGTGACAAGAGCTGTTCAGAGAAGAAATTTTCTGATTCAGAGGAGATAGTTGAAACAAACCTCAAAGATGACAGTAGGGGACACCACCCCCAACTCAACTTTCTGGGAGGGGCACAGGCCCAAATCTGTATAGACAATGTCAGCAGTGGCATTCTCAACAGCAAAATGTCCATACCTGAGGCCAAGGAAAAGGCTCTTGCAGACCAAGAGAAGGGCAGAGGGCTGGATCATGGCCTTGATGTCACAGAAGACAAGGAAAAGGAAATTAGTAGTACACAAGACCCAGAGCCAGAAGATGAGATCTTGAGTTGCGCCTTCAAACTGCAAATTATTCGAGGAGACACACAGACACTAAAGGATACCCAGTGGCTCAACAACAAAGTCGTCAATTTTTACATGAATCTTCTCATGGAAAGAAATCAAAATCAAGGATATCTGTCAATTCATGCATTTAGCACCTTTTTTTTACACCAAATTAAAATGTGGGGGCTACAGCTCAGACAAAAAATTGACACAGACAGTAAACCTCTTTGCAAAGGAACTTATTCTGGTGCCAATTTACCTGCATGTGTACTGGAGCCTGGGGGCAATAGACCTAAGAAAAAAAAAAGCATCGTCTACTTGGATTCGATGGGACTGAAAAGACCAGATATCCTCAAGATGATTTTCCAATACCTGCAGAATGAGAGCAAATCCCAGAGGAATACCGATCTGAACCCTTTGGAGTGGAAGCAATACAGTATGACAGCAGAGGAGATTCCTCAGCAGCAGAATGGGAGCGATTGTGGGATGTTTGCCTATAAATACGAAAACTGTATTTCCAGAGGCCAACCCATCACCTTCTCTCAGCAGCACAGGAGGAAGATGGTGTGGGAAATCCTGCGTAAGTGCTTACTGTAGCTCAGCAGTCTTTCATGGGCTGGATGTTGTCACACAGTTCAGACAGGGTAAGAGCATCTGAAGAGTTTCATTTCTCAGAGCCATTTCGGCCTGCACCTCCAGGGTGCTGGACTTCCACCATGCCCTGCTTACACGTCCTGTTCTGTTTTCAAACTTTGTTCATTTAAAAACTTTGTGAGGTCAGGCGTAGAGACAAAGTCAGGCAGATCTCTGTGGGTTGAAGGCCAGTCTAGATTACATTCTAAATTCCAGATCAGCCAGGGATACATATTATCTACAGAAGCAAGCAAGCAAGCAAGCAAGCAAGCAAGCAAGCAAGCAAGCAAGCAAGCAAGCATGCATACATCTGTCCTGGCTAGTTTATTGTCAACTTGACACAACTTAGAGTTATTTAGGAAGAGGGACTCTCAATTGAGAAAACACCTCCATAAGATTTGCCTATAGGTAAATCTGTATTTTCTTGATTGATGACTGATGTGGGAGGGTCCAGCTCACTATGGGCAGTGCCACTCTGGGATGATGGTCCTGATTGCTATAAAAAAGCAAACTGAGCAAATCAGGAGGAGCAAGCCAGTAAGTAACACACCCCATGACCTCTGCTCATCAGCTCCTGCCTTTGGGTTCCTGTCTAGCCTGGGTTTCCCTCAATGCACTATGACCCAGAATATATAAAATGAATAAACTCTTTTCTCCCCAAGTTGCTTTAGGTCATGGTGTTTTTATCATAGCAGTGGAACCACTAAGAGGGCATCTATTCATGGGATACTTTTCAAAATAGCCATGGCTATTGCTAGTCCATATGGAGATGGACTATATACACTTTGAGCAGTTTACATGAATTAGTAACTTCCTGACAATATAAGAGCTGTCAACTGCATTAAGGAATTTGCCCAGGGTAGGAAAGATGGCTCAGCAGTTAAAAGCACTGACTACTCTTCCAAGAGGACCCAGGTTCAATTCCCAACATCCACATGGCAACTCAGAACTGTCTGTAATTCCAAGAAATGACCCTCTTACATAGGCAAGCATGCAGACAAAACACCAATATACATAAAATAAGACAAATTTTTTTTAAAAAAGGAATTTGCAAGCTCCAAATGTTAGAACCAATTAGAAAGTCACACCATCTGAATCCAGAACCTGTGTCTTGAACCATACCACTATATGGAGTTTGCTATTGAGTTTTAGTTTGTGGTTCTGAGCATCAAACCCAAGGCCCTGAACATGCTAAGAAAACATGCAAGCACTAAGCTACATCTCAAACCCTACAAATAAGTTTAAATGTTTGAATGTTAAACATCTGGCCAGTTTGCGCTGGGCCTTTGAATTACTTCAAACTTTCTATTATTAAGAATAATGTTTTTGGTCATGGTGGGGTAGCACACATCTTTAATCCCAGCACTCAGGAGGCAGAGGCAGGTGGATCTCTGTAAGTTCGAGACCAGCCTGGTCTACAGAGCAAGCTTCAGGACAGCCTCCAAAGCTACACAGAGAAATCCTGCCCTGAAGAACATAAATAGATAATAACAACAACGCTTTCCATGTGGCTGGAGAGATGGCTCAGCAGCATAGAGCACTTGCTCTTGCAGAGGACCTGGGTTCAGTCCCCAGCACCCACATGGTAGCTCATAATCATCCATAAACAGTTCCAGAAGATTTGATACCCTTTTCTGACCTCCATGGGCACCATGCATACATATGGTGCACAGACAGACATGCAGGCAAAACATCCACACATAAATAACTAAAATAATAAATTCTTTAAAAACTAATAATAAGGGCTGGAGAGGTGATGGCTCAGCAGTTAAGGGCACTGGCTGCTCTTCCAGAGGTCCTGAGTTCAATTCCCAGCAACCATTTGATGGCTCACTACCATCTATAATAGGATCTGATGCCCTCTGCTGGCCTGCAGAGCACTCTTACATAAAATATATATAAATTTAAGTTTAAAAAACTAATACTACAGAGAAACCCTGTCTCAAAAAAACAAAAATAAATAATAATAATAATAATAATAATAATAATAATAATGCTTTCAGGGCTAGGGAGACGGCTTAATGATTAACAGCACTGGCTACTATTACAGAGGACCTGAGTTCAATTCCCAGCGTCTACATGGCAGCTCACAACCATCTGTTATTCCAGTTCCAGACGATCCAATGCCCTCTTCTGGCCTCTGTGGGCACCCAATGTGCACAGTGCACTTACATACATGCAAGCATACAATTGAAAATTTATTTTTTAAGGTTTTATGGGACTTACATGATTTTCCCCTGCATCCTTGTCTTTTTACTTTAGGATTAATTTTTAGAAGCCTGATTGGGTCAGAGGATAAATATAGCAATATAAACACCCAAATAAGCTATAGACCAGAGTACTTCTTTTTCAGGGTCTTACTCTATAGTCCTGGCTGGCCTCAAACTCACAGATATATACCTGCCTCTGCTTCCCAAGTGCTGGGACTGGTTAAAGGCGTGTGCCACCATGCCTGGTCCACAGCACTTTTTAATTAGCTCCTACAAGTTTAATACAGTGGGAAAGACAATTTTGTGCAAACAACTGTTAACAGGTGGCTCCAAGTAGAGGCCTATGAATCACCATGTGTCTAGTCACCAGGAAGGTTTCAGGCAACTAAAGAAAGGACCGTACTTGAGAACAGACCATTGAGCCCCAAGCAGCCAAACCCCAGAGCTGGCCAGTGCAAGTTGTAAGGGATGTGCTGCTCATCCATTCACCAGACCTACGGGACCAAAGGAGGCAATGGTGGGCAGAAGGCATCGGAAAGAACTATAAGACAGACAGACAGCCTTCCCGCACCAACATGCCAGAACCCCA